TCCGTCCCCACCTACTTCTCTGAAGATACTGTCCTCCACAGAAATATTAGAGTCGTGTCTTGTAAGTCCTTGTCCGCCCCTGATATCTTCGATATTCGGAGAGTGCTGCTGCGGAGGAGCCGCCGGCGGGGGTTCACGGAGAGGCGAACGGTTGTCGGGATTGGCAGGAGTGCCAGCAGCGACGGTCTTCTTTTTTTCTTTTTTTTACATCACACAAGACTCAATCAGCTCGGCTCGGCCAAATGCCTCTCAACAACCAGACGAGGGTTGTGGCCCTCCGTTTGGTCTTCAGGAAGTCGCTCATCTCATCGTCGGGAAAGCTCCCATGCCCATCTTGCGCCTCGCCCTCTCTCTCCACTGTGCCGTCGACGGGCACTCGAAGATGACGTGCCGCGCATCCTCTCTCGGATATGGACATTTCCGGCATCCCCTTGGCAAAGCCGGGTCCACTTTGCTCCAGTGGTCTCTCAGGAGGGAGTGTCCGCTGAAGACCTCCGCTAACCGCCTCCTATCTTCCATGCTGATCCCAAGGTACCCTATCATCCTCTTCTGAGCTGGTCCCCAATTGACGTCCGTCCATGCCGCCTTCAGGGTGTTTCGGGTCCTACACCATATCCGATCTTTCCGAGCCCTATATTTCCGCGTCAACATGTCCTGAACATGCGCCCACGCGACCGGGCAGTCCGTCGGAACTCCGACGGTGGCCGCTTGTTTCGCTAGCAGATCCGCTAGACAATTTTCCCGGTGCCCCAAGTGGGCTTTCACCCACCGTAGCCTCAGGCCGCCTCCCCTGGAGTCTAGAAGCCTCCTCAGCCTCAGCACCTTTCGGCGAGCTTCCCTGGCCCGGGTCCCTTCCACCGCCAAGTGGCCTCCGGCAGCTCTCAGCGCCGCCTGGTTGTCGACACAGATCTCCACGATTCCGTTCCACCGTTCCAAGCCGGCACCTCCCTCGATCCTCCGCGTGGCCATTTCGCAGGCAGCGGAGACTCCGCTCAATTCACATTGAAAGACCGTAGCCCAGCTTGGCATCTTCCCATCATCGTGTCGATCGTTCGACCACTCGGGCCAATTTCCGCCACCCCGTATCCGGCGAGGCTCGTCAGGACGCTCTTCCCGCCTCTCGGCCTGACTGCCTCGCCACCAAGCTTGCTGCCGTCCGAAAAATACTGGAGGCTCCCAGCCCCAACCTCCGGGGACCCCCCGAGATCTACGGGGACTGTGGCGCCCACGGTCCGCTTCCTCAGAACTTCCGGGGTTCCCCTAAGCCTCAGCAGCCTCCCTGCCGCTGCCCTTTCCCTGTCCGCTAGGTAGCCTTCACCAAAGACGTTGTGTCTGAGGTATCTCTCCACCGCGGTGTGGTCCAGCTCTTTCCAGTCAGTCCATCGCAGGATCAGCGCATTGGGCAGTGACCTCAGCCCCCTCCAAGACCACCGGCCTATCTCACTAAGGAGTCGCTGTGCCTTGCCGGCAAACCATGCCCTCCCCGCTGTATGGCCCCAGATCTCGCTAGCGTAGATGGCCTTCGGGATGACCACCCGTGACCAGAGGGCTGCGATGACCTTGGCATCGAGCCCGAAGTTTCGTCTACAGATAGCCGCGTAGCGCCGAATTGACGTTCTGACCTTCCCGAGGGACTCCGTAGCGTGTCTGGTCCAGTCGAAGACACCCCCGTGACATTTTAACCACACGCCGAGCCATCTCACCACTATCTTGAGCTTCTCGGCCAGCTCCGGAGCCGCAGCCTCGACGGGGTTCCTCAGTGCCTCCCCTCCGCACACTAGGGCTTCCTCTTTGTCAGGCGCCAGCTGCATGCCCTCCTCGTTCGCCCACCTTACCGCTGCCGCCTTGGCTATCCTAAGGCCTCGAGCGAGACCCTCCACTGAATCGCTGCTCACTCCAATGCATACATCATCGGCATATAGTACCACAGTCAGCTCCCAAGCAGGCCCCATGCCCCTGTCCTCTTGCCACGCATATTTGATCGCATCGGCCATTCCCGCCGAGTGCAGTGCGAAGAGCGCGGGGGATAATCCGGACCCCTGAGAGACTCCTTTGTCCCTGAACCTAGATACTCGCGCCGTCTCCTCCTGAAAGGTCACCTT